GCTCCACACTGGGCTTGTGTCCATCCTCCATGAGGATTTTGTGCATGCAGAAGGCTGGACTAATGCACTTAATGTCAGATATAGTCCACCCAAGTGCTCGCTTGTGCTCACGTAGCACTCTCAACAGCTTTTCTTCCTGCAATTTAGACAAGTCAGATGAAACAATAACAGGTAAAGTGTCAGAGTCACCCAAATAAGCGTATTGCAGGTGAGGTGGAAGGGGTTTAAGTTCTAATTTTGGGGCTTTCTCAATTGATGGCCTTGGGGGAGGCCCCTCTAGTCTATTCAAAGGCTCAAAGGGGTGTATCCCTTACAGGTACGCACAAGATGTATCAAGGATGTGCATCATCTCCTCAACCTCCTCATCAGCCCCCAGGTTATCAAGTAACATAAGTGCTTTCTCTAGAGAATCGTCTAGATATACACTAGGATGACAAATCTGCTCATCGGCCTCAACAACAGATATCATTAAGAGCTCCTCATAGTGGAGGGGAAGTTGGATTGCCCTGTAGACATTAAAAACTTCTTCCTCGTCATCTACCCGCAAAATCATCTTTCCCTCTCTCACTTTGATAATTGCATCACCGGTAGCTAGGAGAGGTCGCCCCAATATAATCAGAACCAGTTCATCAGCTTCATAGTCAAGGATAATGAAATCAGCCGGGAAGATAAATTTCCCAATCTACAGCAACACATCTTCAATCACCCCTTCAGGGTGTGCTATCGATCTGTCAGCCAGCTGCAACATCACAGTAGTTGGCCTTGGAGCTCCCAGACCCAATTGTTTGAACAAAGATAAGGGCGTCAGATTTATGCTTGCCCCCAAATCACACAGAGCACGACCTACATCCACATTACCAATACGCACAGGAATCGTAAAGCTGCCAGGATCCTTAAGCTTTTGAGGAAGCTTATTTTGGACCCTAGAAGTGCACTCCTCAGTAAGTGCAACTGTCTTAAAGTCAGCTAATTTTCTCTTGTGAGCTACTATATCTTTTATGTATTTAGCATACTTTGGAATTTCCCGAAGCACATTAACGAGTGGAATATTCAATTGAACCTGGCTCAACATAGAGAGGAATTTTGTGAACATGCGATCGTCATTCTTTTTCTACAATCTCTGGGGAAAGGTAGTGGTGGTCTAGGGGCCTCCACGGACTCTGAAACGTCAGCAACATTCTTTTGCTCTTGAGTCACTTTAGGGATCAACTCTCCCTCAGGTATGGGCTTGTCTTTCTTTTTCTTTGGCATTTCCTCTAGCTCCCTCCCTTTTCTAAGTGTAACTGCATTCACTTGAGGGTCCTTTTCTGTATCACTGGGGAGAGCGCCTGCAGGTCTAGTGTTTTGAGTTGTTGCTAACTGCCCCGTTTGCCTTTCAAGATTTCTGAAGTCGGTCCTGAGTTGCTGATTTCAATCAACAACTTCTTTAGCAGATTATTGGTACTTTCTTCCATTTGTTGGGGTGGTCTTTGAGGCTGATTGAAATTCCCTTGGGGTCTATGCTGATTCTGATTCTGCTGATTTTCACCCCATGAGAAGTTGGGATGATTCCTCCAGTTAGGATTGTAAGAATTCCCATATTGTGCATGCTGATTCGGTGGACCTCTGTTCTGTTGCCCCACATAATAGATGGATTCTGGATTCGTGGGGAACATATCACTCATATGACTTTCACCACAGAGTTCGCAACAAATATTCATCTGTTGTACGTGTTGCATTGTCTGTGGTTACTGCATTATCATCCGAGTCATCTGATTGGCCAACTTTGCAATGTCGGCTCTCATGGCTGATACTTCGTCTAACTCAAGTAACCCAGCTGATTTTTGCTTAACTGCCTTTCGTGAATCACCCTCATCTTGCCAGTTATTATCATTAGCAGTGAAGTTATTCAGCAAGATTTGGAGTTCACTGTACGGTCTGGCCATGCAACTACCCCCACAAACGGAATCAAAATTCATCTTTGAAGCATCATCTAATCCATCTACAAAAGTGTGACCTAATACTTCGTCCGTCTGGCAATGATGAGGACAGTCTCTGGGCATCTTCTTGTACCTTTCCCATGCTTGACGCAGTGTCTCGCCCGCTCGTTGTTCAAACCCAAGAATTTGACTCCTCAATACGTTTGTTTTCTTAGTGGGGAAGAACTTGATTAAGAATTTCCTTGCCAGGTCATCTCAAGAGCGGATTGAATTTGCTAGCTCTTTATTCAACCATTCCTTAGCTTCCCCAATCAATGAAAAGGGGAAAAGTGTTAGCCTGACATAGTCCTTGGAAACGTTCGGATAGTTGTAGGTATCCGTAATTTCTAAGAAATTCTGAATGTGCCTCTGCGGGTCTTCATAAGGTAAACCCACAAACAGCCCTGTGGCTTGGATCAGCTGCACCATGTATTGTTTCAGCTCAAAGTGCCCAGTGATGTCAGGCTTCACAATAGCCTGAGTCATATTAGCCAGACTGGGCCTTGCGGCTTCAATCACCGCACGTTCCTCATTACCCACCATCTCAATTGGTTGTGGTTGAACTTCGATGTCCAACTCTCTTTCAATTCTGGTTCTCGCGTCCACCTCCCTCCTCAACGTGTGAAGTGTTCGTTCAACTTCGGGATCAAAAGGAAAGAGGTTGTTTGCGCTTCTACTTCTTTGCATTCAATAGAAACTCCTGTATTAGCACAAACAAAGTGAACTAACGTTAAAACTCGAATAAATAAGTAATAAAAGCTCAATTCAGTCAAGTAGCTAATTTCTAAGTCCCCGGCAACGACGCCAAAAACTTGTTGTGACCAAAAACACCCACGCAAGTGCACGTGATCATCAAGTAATAGAGTAGTGAGTAGAGTATTGTTCCCACGAAGACTTATGATCAACTGTTGATTGATTCAAACCCAATTTCTTTATCTACCCAAGAGATTGTTCATAAGAGAGATACGTAATTGTTTTACTACTTAACTATAAAGAATTAATCTAACCAAAGCAAGTAGCCAAACAGATAGCAATCACAAGTAACGAACAATATGAGAAGATATTCCAGGGTCACGGGTGTAATACAATCGTGTTGTGTCCTTGGCTTAAAATGACTAATCAATTTATCTAGGTTATTGATTGACAAGGTTGATATTACTCATAAGAATCTGTCGAGTTCTTACTCGCCTGTTCAAGTCAACTCAATGCCTATATGTCTATGGAATTAAGATTAACAAGAACGCATTTACAATTCCTGTATTCCAACCAAACAAGGCAATTGGGTATATGTCTATTCCAATTCCAAATCTGTTCCCCGAGGCCCGGGTTCAAGAACTTGCTCTATTTAATTCTATATGCAATCTAAAGTTCCCACTTTCGAGTTCAACTGAAGATTCGTAGATAGTATTTCACTGTTAGCTACTCAGTAAAATAATTAAGAACAAAATTAAATAAATAACCCAATATGATAAACAAATTTTGTCAAATTAAATTTCAAACAACAACATTCATGTTTTACCCACGACCCTAGAACAATGGGTCTTAGCTGCTCATACTAGGGTTCATCATAAACAAGTTCAATTTCATCACAAACAACAAAAACAAAAGAAAAAAAGAAGACTTTGATGATCAAAACTCCTCCTTGCCTCTTGCCTCTCTATCTCCTCCTCTAAATTATGAAAAACTTGATCCTTTAACCTTGGGGCGAGCTTGAATTTATGTAGGTTAAGTGGGTTTCTCTCCATATTTTCAATTTTACCCCTAAATAACGTTTCTCCGGATCAGACACGCGCGAACTATTGCGCGAAGTATGGAGTTCGCGCGTGACTTCGCGCGCTTCTCTTGGATTCCAGGCAGAAAAGCTCGCGAACTATTGCGCGAAGTTTTGAAGTTAGCGCGTTACTTAGCGCACTTCAGTAGCTCGATTTTGTCCATTTTTCCGTCTCGTCCTTGCACACACTCGACTCCTAGGGGGTGTTCTTGCTCATAAATCATTCCAATCTCCTCTTGAAAGCATCATTTAGGCTCCTCATCCTGCAATGTATACATATCACAATTAGAGCCTATTTTTCATCAATTAACCATAATATGTCATCGGAATATAATCAAGCGGAAGCATAATCAATAGCTAAATCACTTAGATTTCGCCTATTATCACTTTGCAACCTTGCCAACCTAGCCCGGAGAGCCATTACAAACCCTACCACCCCATGGACAAACCTAATTATTAGTAACTATGCTAATAACTTCAACACTAGAAAAAATTCTTTTATATGGAAAAGTATTCAAATGTGGTAGGAGTTATGTTCCAAATGTATCATTTGGCAACCCCATCACCACTCCAACATGAACATTTGGAAAACCAATTGGATTCCTAATTTGGGGAGCCTTAGAAAAATAATAGAAGGCCCGTTATTAAGAGAAGATTACTCATTAAGAATAAGAGACATCTTTGATGGCAAAAACTGGCACTTTGGTAATATATCCCTCAATCTCCCCAAAGAAATCATGGACACCATATCAAAGTTTAAAATCCATATTAAAAAATCAAATTGTGACATCCTTATTTGGTCTCTAAATACGAAAGGCTTCTTTACAAACAAAACTTGCTATACTATCATGGACACTAATGAGGGCAGGGAAATCGACTTTAATTGGATTTGGGACCTTGCATGCCCAAATAAAATCAAATTCTTCCTATGGAAATGCTTTCAGAATACCTTGTAGACAATATCTAGCAAAAATTGGCCTAAACATTGACCCCACTGACCTATATGTAGAGATCATATAGAAGAATCCGTAATCCATATTTTCTTCAAGTGCCAAGCCAGCAAACAACTTTGGGACAGCCTTGGATTGCAAAACTCTTATAAGGAAGATGTTGATTATTAGTTAATCCAATTAAAAAAAATTGACTATCCGTTAAATAATAATTTTTTAAATTGGAATATCTTCTTCCCTTTTGCTATCTGGCATATTTGGATAAACAGGAATAGCAATAACCGAAACAATACAAATCACCCTATCAACATTAACCACATCATGGAAAGGGCTACTGAATTTTGTCTCCTAACTGAAAAGAGTATTCTTCCTTCTCCAAAAATTTATATCAATGTTAAATGGCATAGACTCCCTAAGGGATGGTTCAAATTAAATATTGATGCAAGTTTCCACAAAAATATACAAATTTGTGGCCTGTGTGGAGTAATCAGAAATGCTAATGGCCACTGGATAGTTGGCTATACAAAATCAGCTCATGCACGTGGATCACTGCATGCTGAGATCAAAGCTCTACTAGATGGACTTAAAACATCCCTTAATTGGGGGTTGTTCCCTCTACAAATTGAAACAGATTCGACGGAGGTAATCCTGGTAATAATCTTTATGCTAACATTGTCAACAAATGCAGGTTGTTAATGCTTCAACAGAAGCAGGTAATCATCCAGCACGAGTTCAGGCAAGGGAATAAGGTAGCTCACCAACTAGCACAGATGGAAACTGCTGATCTCAGGAAGAAGAAGAAAGTTTTTGTGGATCCACCAGCAGAAGTAAAAATTCTAGTAGAACGTGATTTACTAGAAAAATATGTTTTTGGAAAACTTTTATCATATGATGCTTGTAAAACTTTAGCAAGCTTAGGTAATCAAAGTGTCCTGTGTGACACTAACTATAAATCTCATGTACTGCATGTTTCTTAACCTTTAATATATATATATTTTCTGTTTGCTAAAAAAAAAAAAGAAGTCACAAAATATTGGTTACCTCGTTACGACAATCAAGGTTAGAATTGGAAATATTAGTTTTTCACTGGAAAAGACATCGTTTGATTTTGTATTTAAGAATATCAAACTATGATACAAGCTAGATTAGAATGCTTGATAGTGAAAAAGCCCTAATCATTAATTCTTACGACATTATATAGTTATTACTACGATTAATCGTTGATGGTGAACTTTTTGTTGTCCTCGTGAAAATTATTGATATTAAGGCACCATATTGAACTGGCAAATGCTCAGGAGAAATGTGTTTGTACGACCAAATGATATGTATATGATTTGAACCACTCATTCTCACCTGACGCTATATATATGTTAGATAGATTTGGGTAAGCTGCCATCAGCGGCATGGGTAGCAACTACTATCAGTACGCTAATCTAAGGTTGGTCGTAGAGATCTATGAAGGGCTATCTTTAGCATAAATCCCAGTTACTGCGCGCGATCGTATACTAAGGTGCTCCCCGCCGGTTGTTGGAAAATCGAAAAATGAAGGGCTCAAAGGTCTAAATAGGGGGTTATAAATTCCCCATCTCATTGGGGGCGGAAAACGAATCGATATCTCGATGTGATATAGCCCTTTCGATTTTAATTGAGAATGAACGGCGAAGTCCATCTGAACCGTCCAATGAAGAATAAGAGGACAACAAAGCGTCAATGGCACGCAAAGCGCATGGGGAACGGGCACGGAGAAAAAGAATTGTGGAGGAGAAGCAGCCGAGCTCATTCCCTTCGCTTCCTGGGCCCAAAGCAGTGCAATCTTTCCTGGCAAATCAAGGATTTATATAGAAAATTTTACCTCCTATAACAAAAGTATATACCCTGTTTATTATAATCAAAATTATTTTAAAATATTATTTTCTATAGCTACCTTTTATATTTTATAGCAAAATAAGTATTTATGATATATATTACCATTGAGGCATGAAATAAGGCATAAAATATGCTATTTGTGTTTTTCCTCTCTCTTAGACAACTGGACATACCTATTTTTAAGGTGATTGTCGTTACTGTATTCATGAATACATGGCGCGAATACATGTGAATACATGCGCATACAACTGGATTGCTCTGATTTTATGCGCTTTTTACTGTTGTATTCATGAATACAACAACACGAATACATGTGAATACATGCACATACAGCTGGACTGCCCTGATTTTAGGCGTTTTTTGTTGATGTATTCAAGAATACATGGCGCGAATACATGTGAATACATGCGCGTACAGCTGGGCTGCCCTGATTTTAGGCGCTTTTTACTGTTGTATTCATGAATACAGCAGCGGGAATACATGTGAATACATGCGCGTACAGCTGGGCTGCCCTGATTTTAGGCGCTTTTTACTGTTGTATTCATGAATACAGCAGCGGGAATACATGTGAATACATGCGCGTACAGCTGGATTTGCCTGATTTTAGGTGCTTTTTGCTGTTGTATTCATAAATACATGTGAATACAAGCGCATACAGCTGTACTACCCTGATTTTAGGCATTTTTTACTGTTGTATTCATGAATACAGCAGCGAGAATACAACGAATATACTACTGTAACAACTGAATAGTAGCTATAGAAAATAATTATGTATATGATAGCTATATGAAGTTAATAGCCACTAAACAATAGTGGTTTTTGAAAATTTCTCATATATATTAAAAGTACGAAGGCCCTTAGCGAAATGTCGTTCGCCTTTTTTTACCCTTTAAAAACTAATTTTACATTGGACAAAATTGTAATTTAACTATTTTACTAATATTTAAGATTTGAAATTAATTATATTCCTTGTTTTAAATCTTTCCTTATTTGAATTTTTATAGTATAGAAAGTCAGTAATATTTAGAGCTCTATAATTAATTAAAATTTAACTACCTTATTTGATTAGGAATTATCTAATTTAAGTCAGTACATTAAAGGGAAGAAATAGGAACGTCTCTTCCTAAAGATTCTTATGGAGACGGATTCATCCTTGCGCCTCCCGTAAATTCTAGCATACCTTCAGTTTCTTCCTTTTTTTTGGGTTTTCAATCACATATGTGGAAGCCGAAAGGATGTGTCCATTCAGAAAGATTTTAAACTTGTGATTTTATTCTCTATGCATCAAGAACAAAGAATCAACTCCAAGAGAATCACTCTAATTTCTTTAACCTTCGCAAAAGTCGTAAGATAAATCTTTCGTTAAGGAGGATTACATTATCACAAATTTACGACAAGGATCAAGGAATTTGTTTTCTCCACATTGGTCCATATGTGTATTGGCAACTACGACTCTATAAAAACTAAACAACGGGTTGTCTTTTGATCAAAGGTATTATTCTTTTTCTATTTTTTTCACTGATTTGATTGAATTGAGAATTATTAATTGTTATGATAGTGGGAACTCCCTTTTGGTTTTTGTTATGGTAATTTTATACACTCACTAAGTAAAAATTCTTTGGTCTACTGTAAATAAGCACCGCCACATCCCACAAATATTCTTAGGGATATTTGACATAAATAACTCTTTAATGTTTCTATTAAGTTGTTGTTTGCATCTTACTTTTCCTTTAAATACTCTTTTTATATAAACTATTTGTTAGTAGTTCTTTCTAGCTTTTCTAAATTTCAAGATAATCAATTTATACTTGCATGTATTTACTCTTTATTCCGTTGCGATTTAGGATGAAAGAACCATTCTAAGCTTTTGTTTATTAAAAATGGTCGCTTCCTTTATTTACATGGTAGATGACAAAAAAATCACAATAAGGTATAAGATAATTTTCTTAGCTTTATCTTCAACAACATCTACATCTACACTATTAAAAACACGAAGGTTCATAGCAATATATCGTTCGCTTTTTTTAACCTTAAAAAATATAAGTTTACATTAGACAAAATAGTAATTTAAGTTATTCTTTTAATATTTAGGATTTTAAAATTAACTAAAATTATATTTATTAAATTTTCTTTATTTGAACTAGGTATAAAATCCTAATCTTATTTTAAAATTAATTTTTGAATAACTTGATTTCCATACATTATAAAAATTCTAAAAAGACTTCCGTAAAAGAAAAATTGAAACATACATGTGAAAAGAGGAAAACATACTAATTTGATAAAACACGTGCAGATAAATAGACTTACAAATGCATGAGCAATTGCTCTAGGGATTAATCAACAAATAAATTTTACGATAGAGTTAATGTATGGAATATAATTTAGGTTAAGATGCAAAACTCTACTAAGAACAAATCATGTAAAATACATTAATCTGTCTACGACCTTGCAATCATAAACGCACTAAATTTCAAGAAAAGCGATTTTTAGATTTGATTTTACATTTGAAAAAAATAGTATTTTTTTCAATATTTAAGGTTTTAAAATAAAAATAAAATATAGCTTAGCAGATTGTTTCTTATTTAAATTATACGCAAGAATCACTTAAATTTTAGTTTTACTCATTTGAACACTTTAAAAATAAAGTTTTTCTTAGCTAAAATATCAACTTGCTTATTATTATTTGAACAAATATGTAGGATCTTCTAACGTTTAATACTTAAATATTAATTAATATTTCATCTTATATAAACTTTTTTATTTGAACACATTGAAAATAAAAGTTTTATTCCACAAGAATATAAATACACTTCAATATTCAAAATTTGAGATGATTTAAACTAAAAATTTCAGAAATAATATTTATTTATTTATACTATTATAGAAGTATAAAACTCCAATTCAAAATATTTATCATCGACAAAATATGATTGAAATCAATTCGAGAAAAGGACAAGGAATGAAAGTAAAGAGCATGGTACAGTTTTAAACTTTTAAACTCTTTTGTTATAAAAGTAGCTTAACTTCATTCTCTACATAAATATCTATTTTAGAATCTTGATAAATTAAAATTAAATATTGTTTTCCTTATTTTCCAGAAAAGTAAAAAACTAATTGATTCATTACATGATTGTAATTAGCATAAAGTTTTTATACAACTGAAAGAGTACGCTCTTAGTTCTGTTAAAAAGATCGATTATCCAAAATTTACAATTAATATTGAAATCTTTATTATTTCCTTATATTCATTACTTGCCTTTTTAAATTAATAAGAATTAATTATCTGTTATATAATAACATTATGAATGTAGCATTTATGAAGAGATGTTACGTGAATACAACAACATAAGATATTTATTTTTGATATAATAAATTAATTATAATTACAAATACTATATAACTAATCCAACTAAATTCATCATCTTTGCATGTTTCAAAACATATTGAGTTTAACTATTGTGTCAATGTAAACAAATTTTTATTATTTAAACATATAGTATTGCATTTATTTTAACTTCAATTGCTATTTTTCAATAATTTTTCTTCTTGTATACGTTTAATAATGATTGACGCGATGCACACGTGCAACGCACCTACACTAATGCTTGTGTGTGTGTGTATATATATATATATATATATATATAAAGTAGAAATCAATGAGATTTTCTATATAGAAAATAAATAACACTTCTAAAATGGACCGAGCTATCAGCCGGAAGAAAGAGTAGTAAATGGACCATTAACGAAGCTTGGTTGTATGATAAGTCCCACATCATACACCGATAGGTTGAATATTTAAGTTGTTTTAAAGATAGGTACTATTATCTCCTAGAGAGTTTGGGATTAAAGGAAAGTTTTTTTACTCTTAACAAAGTACTGCATGATTAAACAAGATCTCATTACATAAAAAAAAAAAGAGCCAACATTTCATAGGATCCCTGTTTCAATTTAGTTAGAATAAGGATATTGTAGTCAATATAGGTGGCTCACAAGCATCTTAGGCCTAGGGTGGTTGGTAGCTCAACAAGACAACAACAATATATTAATTTTCTCTATGTATTGACAAATTTGGAGAGGTGTGTTCTCTTAAGGAGTAACATCAGCCAATGAATTATCGACAATTATGGTGAGATGAATATAATTAATTCATCTACTCTAAATCAAAAGTTTTGGAGTCGAGCCCTTGGAATAAAAGAATTCGGGTAAAAAGTATTTTTTTCTTTAACAGGCCTTACGCATTACGAATCGGATTTAGATGGTATTTGAATTGGTTTTTAAGCTCTTTTTAGCTTTTTTTAGTGTTTGACAAAATTAAAAAATACTGAAAATAAGCTAAAAACTGATTAAAACAAGCCGAAAGTAATAAGCTAGACAACCCTAACTTATTGTCTTTTGTCTTAAAAGTTATTTCTGCTAAAAAATTACTTTTTTCGATCAACATAAAATAATTTTTTAGCCAGAATCTTAATGCGAGTACCTAACAGTGAGAAATCTAAAAATATTAGTCAAGGGACATGTCAAGCAGCACACGCAGCTCAATTCAGGGATTGTTTCCAATTAAAAGACCTTAGATTTGGACTGATTCACATGCTTTTGCCTATACTACTAGTGGCTAATTCTTCTTCCTTTTGAATTGAATATTTCTTGCGGCTCTGCTTCTTATTTTATGTATTTTCCTTTTTGTTCCATCATTATCCACTTTTGGGTTGTCTATTCTTTTTACACTACCTTTAATTAAAACAGGTGGTACTACTATGTTTTTGCTATATATCTTCATATTTTCATGTTCATATTCATTTCACTACCTGTCATGGGACCAATATTTATTTGATTCCACGCCTAAATTGACGCTTGTGTTTATCTATTAAATTCTTTCTTTAAAGAAACAAGTTTCTTGGTGGGATTAATTTGCCAATTAACTAATCAACAGTTTTGATTTTTGAGGCGTTATTCAGTCGATAAGTATCTGCTTATGTTAGTAACTTGGTAACTATGTGTTTATCATCTCACTAACAAAAACTTGAAATTTACGACTATTGATCCAAATGTAAATTAAATATCAGTAAATTAATTTGTACTAGCTTAATAAGATATTTATATAATATTACCGTATTCTTACTTTCTTGTAGTGCAAGCTGCTCACTAAGTGTAACGACTCGGCAGGTCGTTTCATGAGTTACCGCTCCGTTTCCCCCATTTCTGCTTCTTTATGTCTTGTTCAACTGTATTACGTAGTATCGGGTTGGTTGGTTCGGGTTCGGAGTGGTTTTGCATAGATATGAAACACTTAGTCTCTTTTGAGTAAGCTTAAGTTGGAAAAGTCATCCGGATGTGACTTATGGGTAGAAGGTCTCAGATGTGAATTCGATGGTTCGGATAGCTTCGTTAAGTGATTTGGGACTTGGGAGCGTGATCGGAATGTGTTTTGCAGGTCCGTGGAAGATTTAGGCTTGAATTGGCGAAATTGGAATTTTGGCGCTTTCCGATTGGTGGTGGAAATTTTGATATCGGGGTCGGAAGGGAATTCCGAAAGTTGGAGTAGGTCTGTTGTGTCACTTGGGACGTGTGTGCAAAATTTCAGGTCATTCGGACGAGGTTTGATAGACGTTTTGATCGAATTCGGAAGTTTTGGAATCCTTAGGCTTGAATCCGAGGGTGATTTGGTGTTTTGATGTTGTTTTGAGCGTTCCGAAGATTGGAACAAGTTTGAATGATGTTATGGATGTGTTGGTATGTTTGGTTAAGGTCCTGAGGGCCTCGGGTGAGTTTCGGGTGGTTAACGGACCAATTCTTGGTTTTGGAGAGTTGCAGATTTTTTGGTATTTTTGTTGCAGCGGTTTGTTCTTCGCGTTTGCGATAGGGCCCTCGCATTTGCAAAGAGATGTCGAGTGAGGAAGGCGAGTTGCCCTTCGCAATCGCGATGTTTGTCCCGCGTTCGCGAAGGTTGAGTCAGAATGTGCATCGCGAACGCGTGCCATAGTTCGCGTACGCTTAGAAGGGTGAAGCAGGCTTGGGCATCAGGCCCTAAGGCATCGCGTTCGCGACCAGAGGAACGCGTTCGCGTAAGTTAATGCTACACCCCGTAAGTTTAACAACATTGACACCGTTATATGCGTTTGATATGGTATTTTGAGTGGAATATTTTTGTAAAATAGTTTAAAAAAATATATGATTTCATATAGTTATTAATATTACTACTTTCGAATATGTTTTAAATTATACACCTAATATGAGAAAAGTTTATGAGATTTTCTTTATTGTAACGATATGAATTATTTTCTCACAAGAAAATAAGGTTATCTTTTTGTTTTATACCATTTTAAGAATTAAGCATACGAAAATTTGTACTGTTTATATGAGATTAGGAAAATTAGAAATTGAAAAATATGTGCAATTTTTTACATGGACTTTTTAATGAAATAATAAGTGTTTGTATTTATTTGGTATGGTACCACATGACCATGATAGTAACGTATATTATAGTATGATATATAAAGTGTATTAAAAGTGAATAATATTTTGAGTAATTTGGGATAATTTTTAATTACGTGGATAATTGGTTAATTATCGGGTAATGGATCATTACTTAATTAATTAATTCAATGTTTGGATAATCTTTCCCACTCCCACGTGGCAGCACCTCCTAATTAAATGTAATGACTCTTAAAGTTGTACCTAGGTGTCACAATTAGAAGAGGAATTAAGAGAGGTAGCTTTTGGGTCATACTAATCAAAATTAAGAACATCCACCAACTAGCGACATTTTCAACTTTCCTCTCTTCAGTTGTTGACTAGATAGCCGTCAAAGAAGATGAAGATGAACTTCAAAATCTTAATCCAGCTTCAGCATATAAAATGCATTTCAAAGCAAATGGACAACTAAGATGCCAGAAAAACTAATCCAAATCAATATATCATTGACCAAAAAAAATCTGAAAAGTAAAACACTTCATTATTTTCACTAGGTTGTTTGAAGAGCTACTACTCTTCAGCCTTGAAGAGTATGTCATCTTCTGATGTTCCATAGTGTGAACGAACTAAAAACACAATATCAACATGTTCCGCTTTACAAGGTTCAATTAATTTATTCGCTTGCGTCTCCAAGTTGTGAATAGTTGCCTCTTGCCTTTGTATCTGGTGTGTTCTCTTATCATATAGTTCCATGCAACACTTTTAACATATCTTTGATCTTTTTCCGGTCATCATCCTTGGGTTCTTTGTTCCTATTAACTTCACAAGAAAAAGAAGAACCATCAAAGTAAGGGGTTGGGGGAAGATAAGAACTATAAGCACAACCATAAAAGTGACCATCTTAACCACCACACATATCACACACATTCCACATATAAGATTGAGTTGGTGCACAAAACTCGCTCTGAGAATATTTTGATAATTTTGCCCTGGGTGGTTTCCTTCACAAAATGCATAACGAGGATCAAAAGTAGAATTACAAACATCAAAACTCTCATAATTCCAAGATGACATGTCTCTCAGATCAAAAATAAAAAAAAAAAATTAAAAATAAATAAATAATCAAATACACGAAAACAAAAATAACAGTTCAACCTTGCAACCTAGAAATATGTACACCTACAACTACACAGTTACTTCCCCGGCAACGGCGCCAAAATTTGATCACGCCCAACTCTAGTCCTGAAAAGGATAAGCGGTCACTGCAAATATAATGTGGTTTACAAGTCCGGAGTCGAATCCCACAGAGAACTAAGGCTTAGCTATAATTGTTCACTATCACCAAGAATACAAGCTTGAACAATTCCTAACTTATAGATATTAAGATTCTTGTGTTTAACTAACTAACTAACAAACTAAAATAATAAATTAACACTAAAAATACTACAAGTTGGAGAAAAGATTAAGGAGGTCTAGAGTTATGGTTTTCCCAATTGTCGGAATCCTTCCCGCTATGTCTTCTATAATTTCGCCTAAGTGTTCTTTACCGATCATGAGCGCTCTGCGTGTTGTAATTCTCTCTCGAGTAATTACGATAATTGACTAGACATACTCTCCCGAGTTACGCTAGCTGGCTTTAATTACAGCTCACTTAGATCGCACCCAAGGTTTCGTTATCCCTAATCCCACCTTAAACCCTTGGTTATTGATTCCTCACATACATCGGGAGTGATGTTGTTCAACAACTACCTAAATATGCACTCTCTCCCGAATAATACATACTAAATAGGCACAACTAATTGAGGGCCCTTCAATCAACCACACGAATAATATAGTTGAACAAATAGAGAAAATACTACGACTCCATTATATAAAAACATAACAAGAATTTATCTTACAAAAGGTTCAATCAAAACCCTAGATACCAAATTAGCTATTCATAAAAGTATATGAAAACACAATACTCAAATTCATAACCAACAATGAAAATAGGAAGAAGGAAGTGAAAAACTCGCTGACGAATTCTCCGCCTTGCTCCTAATGTATTCTTGCATCATTAGGTCGAATCCCCGGTCTTCTTAGCCTCCTTAGGTCTAAATTATGTCAAAAGTCTTCAAAATACCGTTTTTCATGTATATATACCAAGTAGGGTGGGGCCCAAACAATTACACCTTCTCCTATGCAAAAAAGGCCACATTTTCTGGACAAGACGTGCACTGTCGCGCTTGGACCGCACTCAGACCCCGCATATCCACTTTGATTCTGCTTGACTAGCGCAGCCTTAGCTCGACCACACTATTGAAGCGCACTTTTCACCATGTTCCGTTTTGAATTTGGAAACACGTAAAACATGAAAGTTGTACCCCTTTGAGTTAGCTTTCCAACCATATATTGTGGAGATCAAATGGAGTTTTGAGCAAAAGGTTATCTACATTTTACTAGACAGTGCGTAATATACCTACTCAATTCTTCGTTCGCTCTAACTATCATCCGTTGACCCCTGAACACGATTCCAGCTTAATTTCCTTGATCTTTTACTCGGACTTCAAAGCTCCAAATTACTTGAATTCATTCCATAACATCTATATAGCTCAGAATCACTCTTACAAGGCATAAAACATACAGTTAGTGCAAAACACTAGCAATTAAAGCTCGAACTCAATTAAAATACAGTAAATTAGAGTGTAATAATTAACTAAAATACGTAATTATAGCCTATTATCACCCATCACAATGTAAGCTTCAAAAAAGTCAAAGTCTAAAGTTAGCCCGTCGAGTACAAACTTCAGACAATCAAGTCTGAAGTTTTTCCGTCGTAGTACAAACTTCAAACAAATCATTCTGAAGTTTGCACTGCTGCAAAAAAACTTCAGACAAATTAGTCTGAAGTGATGCATACAGATACGAACATAATATATACCTTGAAACTTTTAAAGAGAATTGTTTGCTCAAAGCGGTTACAGGTTAAATTTCTTTTACATAAGTGGGTTCATGTTAAACAACATAGGGCAAATAGGGTGTGGTAAAACATTTTTACCAAATAGTCCATCCAATAAAGTCTCCCCATTTTATAGCTCTCTACACCATTTAGTTCTCATGTGTATGTTTCGCGGAAGTCATTCTTTTTAAATATTTTTCATGAAAAAGTTATTTATGATACTTTCATGGAAATATTGTTCATCTGAAGAGGGAAATGGTAAAAATAGCACGGGCTAGCCAGTTTTCGAATTGGTTATTCAAAAATAGCCAGCGTTTGTAAAACCATTGAAAAATAGTCACTATTTTGTTGCAACACGGAAAGTTCCATCATAATATACTGAAGATCGTTGCACTTGTGTATGAACTTCCAGCATATTATGCTGGATTGTTCACTTATGGACAAATCGACATTTTTCTTATAACTATCTGAATTTTAGTTTTATATTATTTTATCCAACTAACACTTAGACATTAATAATATTATACTAATTATTATTAATTAATAGTAATAATAATAATATTTAAGACTTAGAAATTTCATCAAGATACTTATCGATTTACTGTTATGATAATTATTGTTGTTAATATTTAATCTATATTCTTTCAAAAAGTATTTTCACTCACCCAAAAGCAATTTCCACAAAATTACTTCGGTCATGAGTCATGTGACAAAAAGTCTTAGTTACACAAAATAATCCTGTAGAATGTAGTCTATGTACATGAAGATACAACATATTTACATGCGTTGTTTGTGTATAGGTAACACATCATATCCCATTCAGGCACACTAACACAAATAGTTCTTATTTTGTAATTTATATGAAACACAACATCTGCACAATCAACAAATTAAAACATCTGCACAATCATGCACACCGCAGAGTAGAGATACACAAAATTATAAAAATAACTGTACCCATTAACTCAAAGTTGTTGAAAGATAATAGTAAAAGGAAATACGGGAAAACCTCTCTATAACAGCCTCGTTTGTTCAAATATTTTTGGTTGTTATAGTGAAATGTTGTTATAAAGAACATATATTATAATATAACATAAAAATTGGTTTCGAAAAAACTTTGCTTTTATAATGAAGTGTTGTTATATAGAAATATTGTTATAGAGAGCTCTAACTGTTGATTTATACTTGCAAGCTTGGTTTACTTTTTTTTTTTCCTTTCAAATGAAGAGAATAACAAAAAGAAATAGAAAAAGTTACAATTATGTGCTTACTGCAAACGGATCTCAAGATGCAATCATTGATACTTAAAAGACTTATATTTTTCAAATTTTAAATTTAATGTCTAACCATAGTGGTAAATACTTATTCGCAAGGGTGTTTACGTCAAAATAAATAAATCTAATATGACTAAATGGTTTAATAAATTAAAAATATGTGGAGTGTTGATTAATCATAATTAAGTGATAAAATTCTATGTGCAAACAAACGTCATGCTTGTGTTGATTTGATGTAAATACGAATAACTTTTTACTTACTTCGAGGTACATGAATATCCTTTAGATGTCTATGTCTAAACTTTATACTCGAGCATTTGAAGTTGATTTAAAGCTACTAAACTTACAAAATTGTAG